TTCCCACACTCGGACCGCCTCATTTCTGGCCCCACCCCAGAGCATAGGGGAGCCCACAAAATCTACACGCCTCATTCCCCCAGGCTCTGGAGTGCGAAGGGAATGTGGGGTCTTCATTTTGCTTTGCAAATGCGTCAGCAGCCCCCGACCCAAAAAAAGTTCCCACCCCTCGCTGCCCTGAACTCCCTGATTTACATCTGCCAAGGAGCTGAGGCATGAGGCCGGTTACCCAAAGTTGGGTATTTCAGGAAGGATGTGGAGAAATTGGAGAGGGTCCAGAGAAGAGCAACAAAAATGATGAAAGGTCTAGAAACCATGAGCTAGGAGGGAAGATTGAAAGAATTGGGCTTGTTTCGTTTAGAAAAGAGAAGACTGAGAAGGGACATGACAGCAGCCTTCAAGTATCTAAGGGTGTGTTTACGCAGCAACAACACTGCGAAATAACTTACTCCGTGTCTACACGGCCGGCAGTTATTTTGAAATAATGTCAAAATACTGTCAAGCTGGAGGACTTCTTACCTCGACTCCTGTAGCCCTCATTGTACGAGGAGGAAGAGAAGTCGGAGGAAGAGCGCTCTATTGTAGATGCTCCCAATTTCAAAATAAGCTATGCAACTGACGCAGCTCAATTTGCGTAGCTTATTTTGAGTTATGCCCTGCTGTGTAGATGCACCCTAAAAGAGTGTTACAAGGAGGAGGGAGAAAAATTGTTCTCCTTGGCCTCTGAGGACAGGACAAGAAGCAATGGGCTTAAACTGCAGCAAGGGAGGTTTAGGTTGGACGTTAGGAAAAACTTCCTAACTCTCCGGGTGGTGAAGCACTGGAATAAATTGCTCAGGGAGGTTGTGGAATCTCCATCACTGGAGATACTTAAGAGCAGGTTACACAGATGTCTATCAGGGATGGTCTAGATGGCGCTTGGTCCTGCCAGGAGGGTAGGGGACTGGACTCGATGACCTCGCGAGGTCCCTTCCAGTTCTAACGTTCCATGATTCAATGATTTACCCAAAGCCATAATAAAACCCAGCAGCCCTGCCCGGAGTCCCACCTCTGCACGGGAGTTTTCCTTACCTGTTCACAATGTTGTTGAGTCTGCTGGCTTGTGGGATTGTCGAGTCTTCCCCATTGATGCTCAGCTTGGCCGGGGACTGGACCTCTAGGTTCTCAGCTTCCATGGACTGCTGACAAGACGACACAGACATGTAGGAGCGAGGTGAGAGAGTCCCGGCCTCGTTCTGTTCGCCACCGTCCTGCTTGGTGCTCTGGTTGAGGTTGTTGAGGACGATGAACTTGTACTTCTTCCAGTTGCAGGCTTTGGGGTCGGTAGGGCTCTTGGTGCCCAGCGAGCCGGAGCCTTGACCGATGCGGGCGTTCTTGCTGCTGCTGGACTCGGTCGGCGAGTTGGGTTGGCAGTCCGACTTCTGCGGGCTCTGCGGGCTGACGAGCCCCTTGCGGTTCATGGAGGTGTTGGTTGAGTCGAAGTGTTGGCTTATCTCGTCTTCGGAAGAGGTGCGCTCTTCTTCTTTGGCCGCTTTGTCACAGGGGAAATAGGGGTTGTTTCGGGCCGACGGCGCGACAGGCTTAGGGCCAGCGGTGACGCTGTAGGGCATGTCGCCTCTGGCCTCCTCGGCAGCTGCCTCTTTCGGAGAATAGACGGTAGCGTGGCACGTGGCGGCTGAAACGTCGGTGACGACTCTGCTGTAGTCAGTAGGGATGGTCCTGGAGCCATCACACGGCAGCACTCTCTCCTTTGGGAAAGGGTTGGCCCTCGAGATCTCCGGCAGGGGCATCCTCGCCTCCCTCAGTTCATCATCTAAGAGGAAACCATTGACTGGAATGGGGCTGTATCCCGGGTAGGAAAGGGGCGGTCCAGACAGACCACTGTACAAGCTGGAGGCAAAGGCCCGCCCATCGCAGAGAGACATGTTTCGGAGAGGCATGTTGTTCTCAGACATGTCCCTGCTCCTGTAAGCCATCACCTCCGGATGACCCAGCATCCGGCCCGTCAAGAACTCTTCCCTGGGCGTCTTCACCGCGGAGACCATCTCGGCTTCGCTGCAGGAACGACGGAGACAAAAGGGAGGGCGTTACAACTCGCTCCCTGCCTCTGAGGCATCAGCGGTGTTGCCAAAGTCCACCCTGTCCCCCCGTACCCCCAAAGCCAGGCTCTCCCACTCAGCCACGGGTGTCTCACCTAGACTTGACAAACCTTCGGCAAGTATCCACGACGTGCTCCATCTGCAGGTAGAGCGCGGTGGCCATGACGGCCATGATGTTGCTTTCCCTCAGGTTGAGGCGGGAGGTGTACATGAAGTCCAAGAGGATGCAGAACCCCTCGGGGTTGATGTCCGGGTCCAGATTGATGACGTTCAGATTGCACTTGAGCTGGTCGGTGAATATGCTGTAGAAGAGGCCGCTGCAAAGGGAAGAAGGGAGGGGCGGGAAGAGTGAACCCAACGTTGCAAGATTTCGGAAGAAGAGAGGGAAACTTAGAAGAGGGAACTTATTACAGGGGTTCTCATGGACTCTTGACTGCCGCCCTTCTGACGTTGCTTCATTGGTAGATGGCTCGGAAGGAGGCCCTGGGGTGGAAAAGCTTGGGGGCTCGGACCTTAGCTAAAGATTTGCCCCCTGGAAATCCTCTCGCTCATCCCATACTTCTGTCGCCGCTGACCTAGCATGAAATTCTTCCGTTGGGTCCCCAAAATTACACCACGTCTTCTCTGCTGCTCCTACTGGCCACAACCACCTCCTTATCCATACCTCAACTGCTCACAAACGCCCCGCCATCCCAACTGAAACGGCTTTACTCCCTTGTCTACATCTCTGAAGTTCTTTCGCCTCCCTGTGTGGCCCTGTGTCGCCTCCCTGTGTGCCTGTGTGGCCTCCCTCGGTGGCTTATTGATCTCTGAAGCCCCCCAGGAAACACTATGGGTACGTCTAGACTGCAAGCTTCTTTCGAAAGAGAGCGTTCACACCTCAAAACCGGATCGAAAAAGCCATCTGTTTTTTTGAAAGAGAGTATCCAGACTTCACGGACGCTCTCTCGCAAGCAAGCCCTGATTGCTATTCACAAAATGGCCACCAGGGCACCTGTGCTTTTTTCGATTGCCTCGTCTTTCGAAAAGTGTCCCTGTTCTGCGTCCACACACGCCTTTTTTCGAAAGTGCTCTTTCGAAAACGGCGTTCTTCCTCGTCGTTTGAGGTTTACCAATGTCGAAAAACCCCTGCGTTCTTTCAATTTAATTTCAAAAGAACGCAACTGCAGTGTGGACGCAGGTGATGTTTTTTCGAAAAAACAATATGGTCTAGACATACCCCACGGGTGCCAAAGGCACCCCGCTCTCGTACTGTGATAAGACATTCATGCAGAATGCAAATTGTGGGCACTTTGGGCATTTTTCCAGGCCAACCGCCTCCCATTTGCTTCGCGTTGGTGCCACCTTATCAAACAAGGCCCAGCCATGATCCCCATAAAAGTGGCATGTGCTTTATTGACTGCGTACAACAGGGAACGGATCAGTCAAGGGAGAACATGCTGAGCAGAAGTTCTGGAAAAGAGGAGATTGGGCGGAGCAACTTGATTCAGGTCTTCCAATACGTGAGAGGCTGCTATAAAACACGAGGGGAGGAAAGGGCTCCCCTCTTGCCACAGAGGGCAGGACAAGAGGCCAGGGGTTCAAACGACAGCAGAGTCGAGTGAGTTTTCCCGGAGATTTAATCTAACGGTAGGAACAGTCGGCCAACGCAACAGCTTGGGAAGTCATGGAAGTGCCTTCATGGGAGGTTCTCCCAAGTCAACTGGACAACAACCGGTCTTGGGTGGTTCAGCCACAAGAAATCGTGCGTCTTGGCAGGAGGATTAGCCTGGATGATCCCTGAGGTCCCTCCCAACCCCCTGCTGTCAGAAGTTCAATGGGAGAACACTACTACACTTTTACAATTCACTGAGATGTAGACTGTGGAGCTACCGGAGATGAGTGACTCCACAGATGGGGGCAGAGAGCAGTACTGGGCGCCAGAGGCTGTCTTCCCCACGGCCTGGGAGGATACCACGCAAGGCAGCACGGCGCGGAACACACCCCTCGAACCCCTTGTTACCTGCAGGCCATGAGGACTGTTTTGTGGGCTCTGAACTGGTCCCGGTTCACGACGATGACGACGTCGGTGAGGATGTCCCGGCTCCGCAGGCGGTTGAGATTGAGCAGGACATCGCTGGCGTGGCGGGTGAACTGGATACAGCTGTCTGCCGGAGAGGCCATCTTGACTCTGCCTGGAAACGGAGAAGAAAAAAAAAAAACAGGTCATGAAGCAGCATTAGAAAGGGTCGTACAGCAGGGCCAAGAGGCGACGCCAGCGCGTAGTGTTGGTTGGTTAGGGCAGCCAAAAACCCGCGGCTGGAGAAGACACAGCAATCGAGGGTGCCACCGCATTTCAGCCTCCATCTGCAGGAGGCCTGAGCATGATGGTCCCCAAAGGGGCAAGAACTGGGGTGGGGTCAGTGGGAGCCCCATCCACCTCGCTGGGGGGTGAACTCAACAGCCCCTTCCCAGGGACCAGGTGGGCAGCTAAGCCATCTCCCCATCGCACCTCTACCCAGGCCTGCTCCTGCTTCCCCTGTGGCTAAGCCAAGAAGGGCAGAGCAAACCCCGCACGCTCATCTTCTGCAATGACTAGACAACATGCTTTATGCTTGGTCCTTCAGCTCAGATACTTAGAGTTACTCAGAAAGATCCCATAGAAAGCTACAGACACTCAGCACTCCATAGAACCCTAGAACTGGAAGGGCCCTCCAGAGGTCAAGTCCAGTCCCCTGAACTCATGGCAAGACCAAGCACCATCTAGACCAGGAGTGGGCAAATACTGGCCCATGGCAGGCCCCCCACATGCATATTTACCTGCACATCCAGCCAATGGGACCTGCGATCGCCCGTACCTGCAGAGGTGCAGGTAAATATAACGGCAACAGCCCACAAGGGGCTAACAGTGGTGAATCACTGCTGTTTTATTACCCCTCATCTAGATCATCCTGGACAGATGTTTATCTAACCCAATCCTAGTAATTTCCAGTGATGCAGATCCCACAATCTGCATTACTGGAAATTACTAGGATCGGGTTAGATAAACCCTAAGGCGATCGCCCGTACGTTTCACCACCCGGACAGGTAGGAAGTTTTTCCTGATGTCCAACCTCAACCTCCCTTGCTGCAGTTTAAGCCCGTTGCTTCTTGTCGTATCCTCAGAAGTCAAGGAGAAGCATTTTTCTCCCTCCTCCTTGTAACAGGTACTTGAAAGCTACTATTGTGTCCCCCCCCCCCTTTCAGGTTTTTTTCCCCCAAACTAAACAAACCCCATTCTTTGAATCTTCCCTCCTAGGTCATGTTTCTAGACCTTTCATCATTTTTGTTGTTCTTTCTCCAGTTTGTCTAAAAATCCAGCCCAAGGGATCTCAAACTGGGTATCCAAAAATCAGTGGCCACTTCTAAAGATGATCGGTCCAGTGGCTATATCAGGAACAGAGCATCCAGATCTCCCTGGAATCTAGATGACCTGGGACTCTTAGTTCTAGAAGGCTCACGTTGTTCCAGAATTCTGTTCCTCCTCCCTCGCCAGTTCTTGGTATGAATCTTTCCAAAATACACGTTCCCGCTTTGATCAAAAATGGCGGGGGTCGGGGGGGGGGGGGTGATCCAGCCCTTTCCCAAAAAGCTACCATTCAGCACCTTAAATTCCACACTGGCAATTGAATCTCAAATGCCAAATTCCTCAGTGACAGGATTAGTTCCACTCCCTGCTCCACTGCCGGCGGTGAGATATGAATGGGTAATTTTGTACCGTGCAGCCACTCTCCTGAATACAAATTCCGGCTGGGCTTAATGGAACATTTCATTCAAACACATTTTTAAAAGCATGAAATTAAATTTACATACCCAATGCCTCAATTCACAGCCCAAACGCTTCTTTCAAACCTACAAAGCAAGCACATGAAAACAAACAGCAAATTAGTTCGGAAATGTAAATTGGCTAGGGTAGGGGGCAAGCTTGTTGTTTTGATGTAACATCAGCAGGCGAAGAGCAGACGGTAAGAACACTTAGGTTAATTTGTTTCTCCCAGGACAGTATGTTCTTATTGCAACCACAGGCTTGGGGAATCTAATCATAGACTATTCCACACCTTCTACTCCAAACCATGAGGGTATGCCAAACAGCGTTTTGTACCTGTGAGTGAGAGACTTGAGGGTCGCTGAGGAGGGAACAGGAGTCAAACAAGAATTCCCTCACCACTTCTTTCAGAGATGCCTCTCCCCATCCCCAATATTTCCAGTCCTTTCTTATCTCATTGCATTACACAGGGCAGCAAAACTCTGCCCTCCCTTCCTTGATTCTCTCCAGAAACCTGTAGAGAGTCAAGAACTATTCTCCTTCATAGTCACCATTGCTCTGAAGCTTTCAAAGCACTCTGGAAATATAAAACACTGAAAATTGTTAGAGACTGGGAAACCGAGGCACTGAAAGATTAAGTAACTTGATTGAGGCCACAAAGCAAGTCAGTGGCAAAGCTGGAAACAGAACCCAGAACTAGTCCCCTCTCCAGCTGCTTGGAAGATGGATGATCTTTGTCTCCACCTGCTGGCTTTGGGGAGTTAATGCAGTTAGAAATTCTTCTGTCCTTTCCTTTCCATGCCAAGAGAATTTTTGTTTTCTTCTTACCGGCATGAAGACAAATACTTTTCCCCCAGCGTTGGCTTTTACATTAAAAAGGGGGGGATGAGCATCACTGCTGTTATTTGGCTTTTCAGTTATAGCCATAAACCTTCCCATGCCTACTAAAATGCATACCCAGAGATTTATGGGCACGAGCAGGAATTGGTGTGATTGTTAATATGCGAAGACAAAATCCATGTCAGGCACTCTTCAAAGCTCTTCTGAACGTGAAGGTCCCACAGGGTGACTCATTTCCCCAAAGCGGCAGACTGTGACCTTTTTTGTACAGCCCACTGTGCCAGCCTCTTTTCGGCATTCACCAGAAAGCCAAGAGATTTACAGATTGTCCTAGCCACTGGCCAGGTCCCAAAGCTCCCCCACACAGGGTAAATGTGTAAGTGATATACAACCCGGCCGGATTCGGAGCTCAGCCGTGCCAGTGTAAACGCCAGGCCTGGCGACCGGCTACTGGACTCACAGGGGTCGCCCCTGGCTCCCAGGCCCCCACCACATTGGCAGCATCTCTATGGGGGGGCCCTCTGTAAACCCCCACAGCTGGCCTGGGATGGGCTGCTCCAGACAACAGACCTGACAGTCCAGTGGCTTTTGCCAACAGAGGGCCATTTCCTTGCATTTTGCAACAGGTGCTGCCTTCAGCCTGCTGCTGGGATGGAGAAAGAGGGGGCTGCCCCCATCCCCAGACACCCCCCCATGTTTGCCAACAGAGGGCCATTTCCTTGCATTTTGCAACAGGTGCTGCCTTCAGCCTGCTGCTGGGATGGAGAAAGAGGGGGCTGCCCCCATCCCCAGACACCCCCCCATATTAACCAAGCTACATGCAAATGAGCCCCCCCCCCATCCACATGAT